CACAATAGACTAATACAAGACAAGAGTTTGAGTTCATTCACACTGATTTTGTATTTCACATATATTAAACTAGGGTGGGAAAAAAGATAAGTCTTCTCAAATAATAGTGGTTTTATTTCAGTTTTTAATATGAACACTGTTATCATTATTATTGCGATTTAATTTAAAATTGAGCTATGCAGCTGTGATATTTGGAGTGGTAAAGAGCAAATAAATGAGTACTTGTTAGGATATCTGTTGAGTACACAAACAATAGTAAACAGTTGCTCTTATCTTATATAGTATAGTAAAAATACAGGATTACTCATTTTAAGTTTGAGTTCTTATATTGCAATATTATCCATGACTGGGATATTCCACTTCAGTGGTCAAACACTTGGGCTGCACTTTGAGGGTTCATTCCACTTCCCCTAAATATGGTCAACAGTATGTCACTGCATTTTACCTGTCTCAAACTTAACGTAAAACTATCACTTTTGTGTCCACAAACAGTATAGCATACCTTCTTAATAACAAATAAATCACCAACCAGCAGAGATCAAGCTTCATAGCAGGAATTAGAAGTTTATTACAGAAGGTTCAGTCACAGACTATCAATTAGGATGGAACGATCAAATATTACATCTGGATGAATGAATAGTATTCCCTTTATATCCAACAATCATATATTCTATATGTACAGTGTCAATAAAACTCACTACACATCTGATCTAATCTATATTGCATGCTGTCTTTCACTATCTGATGTGTACACACTAACTGCTGCTTTTAATTAATTCAACAAGGCCGGAAGTAAAATATGGTCTCATTACTGGGTGAAACTGGAGTCTGGTAAATGGGGCACTGAACCTAAGAGAGAGAGAAGTGAAAGCAATAACATGACAGCCAGAGGCCCCAGGCTGGGCCACAGGGAGACTAGTCACCAAATGTCTAGTAAGGGGAAAGTCCAGGAGTGCTTGTGTGCGACGCTGAAGAGAACATACAACCTTATGTTAGGCTGCTGTGTTAGCAATACCGTGCCCATCAGTTTAAATGAGCATTACAACATTTACAGGACATAAATCACAGGTTAACACACATAGCTGATAAGACATGAACCCAGGCTGCGTTCCGGTTGGAAAGAGATCAGCTAATGCCTTTAGCTGAGCCTCTGTGCAAAAGGGAACTCGGATCAAAGTAGCTGTGACAATTGAATTGAAAGAATGGAAATGATCTTTATTTTAATTTTAGTGCCTTGTTCCAGAAAATATATCAATTTACTCTGCATTAAACTTTAAAATGAGTCTGAGTGGTAATTTGATTATTTGAATTGAATAAATATGGGGTGGAGTGTTTGCTTATCATTTAATATGAAGTACAAAATGAATAGCTTTTGCAAACACCTTTTACTCCAGTACAGCTAAACATGTGGCAATTAATGACTTGTATTAGTTTATTCATCCAACTCTTTGCAGCTGCTATGGGCCATCAAAGTTTAACCCTTAATTGAGTCATTCAGATATGGTGCTAGATCTATTTCATGTTGTTGCCACATTTCGTCTTTTTTGCAATACGCCAATAAGTTAAAAATAATGTTCTGATTAGTACTTGTTAAGTTCTCTCTGGAAACTACCTCCCACCATCTGAAAACATGCATGTTTGGTTATCTGGAGACTTTAACTTGACTGTAGGAGTGATTGTGAGCATGTCGGGTCGTCGACTGGCAACCTGCCCAGGGTGTAAATCACCTCTCACCCGATGGGAGCTTCAGCACTTCCATGACTTAAGATTAAATTAGCGAGCATAGAAAATGAATGGATGACTGGCTGTTATACATAAAACCATTTTGGACTATTCCAAAACAAAGAATAATTATTTCTCTCCTATCCTCAATTTGATCTTTTTATACTTATTGTAGTTATGACAAAAGAACATGCTTCTGGAAAATACGGTGTTTGATTTAATCTTTGCTGGTCCTTAAAGACATAAACATTTGGCATGCTATCTAGAACCAACTATGCGGGCTGCATCTCAGCGAATTCTACAGGCTGAAACAACTTAAAAACTATCCAAAGTACCAATAGTTTGGTAGAAGTATACATAAATATGGCAATTATTCACTTAAGTGTTGCAACTATTAAACACCATCTTTCAATATTTTTGGCATCTTCTCATAAATTTCATTATACACTTACGGCTGAAATTAGTAATATGGGTTCAATGTTGTTAAATAATATACTCATTTTTGCACAACTTTGATTATAAGTTCTGATGCATTGCTAATGAAAAAAGTACAGAATAAAGTCAAAGTGCAAGGAGAGGGAAAAGAAGAAAAAAAACAGGAAAAACCTTTAAAATGTACCCAGACTGTTTTGCCTGTGGACAAATACTGCAACTCTCCACAATAAGTAAATGCCATTGAAAGGTGTTTGTATTGATGTCTCCATTACTGGAACAAAAGGTTTCACAAACACAGAATGGAGAAAGTGCAATTGAACAAGAAAAAAGGTGTAAAAAAAAACAAAAAAACAATAACAAATAATGTATACACGTTTAGTACCTGATAATTTTGTACAAATCGAAGTTGAGGACACTATGATGTTAATCTAAAATATTTCCCACTGGATACAGGTTAGAGTGTGATAATATTTGGTAAAGCTTTTGATTTGAGAGGACCAGTGAGTCACACTTTTAAGCCCAAAGTACAGTTAAAACCTTTAAAAGACGATTCATTAGTGCAGAACAGCACGCAGGTGAACATGCTGACAATCTTCAGGTGTTAATCTATCAAGAGGTCAGACTTTTCATTGAAGTGTTGCCCCCTGTTAGCACATGGTTTTAAAGCAACATTTAAAAAAAAATAGACCTTGGCCTAAAGAAACCCTGATGAAGGACAAGGCCGAACTCCAGAAAAATTTCAGGAACATGATAGACCTCAAAATACAAACACATACAGACATATTTCCATTTTTCAGCAGCCTGAAATAACATATCCAACTATCATCATCACTATATAACCATGGTAGAAAAAGTACTTAAATATGAACAACAGTTTACATAACAGTGTGGGTATAATAGGGATTATGAATCAGACAGGCAGCCAGTGCATTGAAAGAAGGAAGGTAGGAAAGGATACCCTATTTTCTTTTACAAAACATGAATATCAAGCTCAGTTTTGTTTGTTCCCTCAGTCCTCAACAACACTCACAATCACAAGTAGTCAGTAGTAAAATTCAAATACAACTAAAATCCACAGAAATCACTTATACATAGTACCAACATTTCACCCTTCACAGTAGACAACAGAAAAGAAATCTGAAATCTTCAGTGAAAATGAGGGAAAAATAGCAACATAAATAAAGGGAGCTTTGCTGGAGTCAAAACTGGCTTTTAACCCAAGGTACCTTTCAGTTTGGTCACCACATTCCAACCTGCAATATCTGATTGGACATTAGTATCTAAGACACTGACCAAAATGTACTATATTTAAAAGGCCATAGAATAAAAATATTCCTATGTCCATTTACAAAAAAGAAAAGAAACAGGGCACTGAAATTTTGAGGCTTAAGTGAAGTTAAAGCAGCATCAGACAACCACCATGAGACCAAAATAGTTTCAATTTTACATTAAGATAGCATAGTGCAGCTTTATATCATCATCAGAAGCCTTGCTAATTTAGCAAATGTTCTTCTCCAGGCTGCCAAAGTGGCACACTAAATGCAAGAGGGGAGAAACTGCAGAGGCATTAACAGAGACACACACCCATATTCAACATATTCCATTTAAAGGGAAGTATTATGGCCCAAGAAAGCATATGTCACATCGAGGGATTATCTTCAGGCCACACACACACCAAAACATCTCTGGGAGCTCAGTAATCTCAGATATTTATACATTTATTGGGGTTGCCTCAAGAGTGTGTGTATTTGTGTGTACTTTCGGCTCTCCAAACAGGGAGTAGATTGGATGGGATTAGGGTTTCAGAGTAAACCAATAAACTGCATCTGTCAGGGTTCGAGAAAGTGTGTGTGTGTGTGTGTGTGTGTGTG